CAGAGCCTGGACCTGGGGTCAGGAAGGGGTTGCAGGAAGGGATGGCGGGGCTGAAAACCCTGGGCCCCTGTGGCCACCCCCACCCCCACCCCCACCGTGTCCCCCAGCTGCAGCCTCCAGCAGCCATGGAGAATGCCTGGACTAGCACTGCCAGGGATTTGTAGGGTGGCCCTGCCTGGTCCCCATCTCCTCTGCTCACTCAGTTCAGTCCCAGAGACCTTACCCAGTTCCAGGGGCAGGGGACAGGGGCAGGGGGCCCAGGGTGGAGAGCAAGGCTCCCGCGATCTTTCTGTCCAGCAAGGAGCAGACAGCAAGAAACCCTGAGGGACTGAGACAAGGAAACCTGGAGACAAGGCTCAGGTGGGGCTGGCCCCTGCACCCAGGGTCAAATCAGAGGGCTTCCAGGCAGGAGGGATCCACTGGCTCAGGGCCCGGACCCTGTGCATGCCCATCCCTGTCGCTGGAGGGAAGGGCCCTGGCCTCGCCCAGGGCAGCCCTGTCCCAGCTGCAGTGCGGGCCGCTGGGCTCTGCAGAACAGTCCTTCCTGCAGCTGGAGCAGGAGAATCACAGTCTGGTGAGCACCCCACCCACCCCCTGGCACCCTTGCCCCAGCCCCAGCTCCAGCCCCAGGAGCGGCCATGACAGGCAGTCCCCTCTCTCTGCCCCCCACCCCCAGAAGAGGCAGAACCAGGACCTTTGGGAGCAGCTAGGGGCCCTCCTGGGGCCGGGGCAGCAGTTCCTGCCCTTGTGTCCCAAACACTCAAGCTGCACTCCCCTGGCCTGGTACAGAGCCCAAGGACCCCATGCAGCCAATGCCCCACTAGCCCACAGCCTTGGGACTGATCTGGGGGCTCTCCCACAGCCCCCCGACCCAGCTAGCATGCAGCCCTTGGGGAACAGGGTACCTCTGCAGCTGCTGTGGCAGGAGCTGTGCCAGGGGCAAGAGACTTTCATGCAGCAGTCCCAGGTGGGCCTGGGGGAGGGGCTGTGGGGGGAGGAACCTTCATGCAACACTCCAGGTGGGCCTGGGGGGTTCAGTGGGGAGGAAAGTACCTTCGTGCAGCAGGCCAGTGGGCCTCGGGGAGGGCCTGTAGGGGGAGGAACCTTCGTGCAGCAGGCCGGTGGGCCTGGGGCAGGGCTATCGGGGGAGGAACCTTCGTGCAGCAGGCCGGTGGGCCTGGGGCAGGGCTATCGGGGGAGGAACCTTCGTGCAGCAGGCCGGTGGGCCCGGCAGGGAGGTACCTGCCACCCTGCTGATGCTGCCCAAGCCCACCCTGGGCCCCACCCTCAGAACGAGCTGCAGCAGATCCACCTGTGCTTTGAGAAGATGGTCATCACAGAAGTGCCCGCCTGGCTGAGGGGGAGGGGTGCTGGGGGCCCACCCAGTGGGTCCTCCTCAGGCGTGACCCCACCATCCTCCCGACAGCATGGCTGAGATGCACATGGCCCTGAACCACCAGGCCACCAGGCTGCTGGTAGGTCCCCACAGAGCAGCACCCAGAAGGATGGGGCCGGGCAGGCGAGAGGCTGGGTAGGGCGGGGCCGGGGCCTGCTGTGCTTACCTCCTCTGGTCCCCAACACCTCAAGGAGGACGTCTGGGGTGTGCTGGACCAGAAGGATATCTAGCTGGGGATTCTCAGGTAACGTGGGGGCAGGGACCAGGTCGGCTGCGCAGGGTCTCGGAAGGGGTCCTGGTCAGGACAGGGCAGATCCACCCTTGACCCCCCCACCTCCATAGCACTGAGCCAGGGGGTGGGTGCCAGGCTGGGGGTGGAGCGCGTGGGGTCCTGACAGGCCTCTGCAGGGAGCAGGCCCAGTGCCGCAGTCAGGCCAGGAAGGAGTTGCAGATGGCAAGCATGGCAGTGAGCCCCCCACGCCCCACTCTGGGTCTGGAGACCAGCCCCCCACCCAGGGCCCTGCTTGGGCGAGGGGGAGAAATGGGCTCCAGCAGAGCAGGTCCAGGGCAGGGGGCATCTGAAAAGTGGCTGCAGGAACCTGTCCAGGAGGAAGGGGCCAGGGCTGTGGTGGGGGGAGCCCTGTCTGAGGAGGGTTTCCCAAAGTCAGGGATCCCCGCCCTCAGCCTGGACCATCGGGGTGGGCTCCCCTCCCCAACAGAAAGGAAGGCCAAAGCTGGAAAGCTCCAAGGGCCTGGCAGGCCAGCTCTGGTAGGTGACTGCACGGCAGAGCCCAGCCCCCAGGCCCCCTGCGCACCCCTGCCCCTGACTGCTGCCACCCGTAGGCTGTTGACCCTGAGGCTGCTGCTGGGTGCCCTGCTGGGCGCCTATGTGTACATGGTGAACCCTAGGCCCTTCGACGGGTTGGTGCCACCCCTGCTGAGCCATGCCACCATCTGGAAGCTCCGGGCCCTGCTGGACCCCTTCCTGCACCTTGAGGTGGATGGCCTCCTGTCCTAGGCCGGAGGCCCAGCGGTTCCAGCGAGGAGGCCAGGCGACCAGCACTGCCCCAGACGCCCAGTGGCCATGTCAGCACCACTGTGCGCCATCCCTGCCGGGAGATGCAGAGAAGGGTGGAGGCGGGGTCTGTCCTGAGGGCTGGGCCTGTGGCTGGACATAGAGTCATGACATACATGGCTGGTAAGCACGTCTCTGTGGAAATTGGGGAAGAGACACCCGGGCCATCTGACAGCGAGGGTCCCTCAGGGTGGAGACCCCAGCCTCAGGGCTGGCTTCCCACCCCACATCCCACCTGCCCTCCAGAAGGCAGCCCCTCTGCACAGCGCTCTGACCCCCAAGGGGTCTTAGGAGGGTTTCCACTGAAAGGCAACAGCAGTAAGGACTAGGGGGTCCTCAGGTCTTGCCCCCTGGGCCAGGCCCTCCCGGGGACCTCAGAGGTCAGGTTTTCAGCACTGAACCTGCTGATCCACTGACCTCATGCCCCTCATGCAACTCCCCTCCCTTCCTGGCCACCACCCTCCCTGCCCAGGTCCTGTCACCTCCCCAACCCAGGGCGCCACATTGGTAGACAGAGTTGTGGAGATCAACACCAAAAATTTTATTTGGGGAATTAATTAGCAGGGGTGCCCTTAAGAACAATGCAGGAGAGTTTTGTGGCTTTCTCATCCCAAAATGGGAGAAATAGAGCAGCAGCCCAGGGTAAACCAGGGACAGGGACCCTGTGCCGGAGAAGGGCTGGCCAGAGTGCCACCCTGCCACAGGCCGTACCTCTGCTGGAGGACACAGGGCTTGGGCCTCGGGCCCTCTGAGCTCCCAGCAGCATCGTCTCTGGGTGCAGGCAGCCCCAGTGGGGCCCAGACAGAGCTGGCCATGACCACAGGACCCTGGTGGCAGGCAGGGGCCAGTGGCTCACCACGCTGGCGGCTCCAGGAAATTAAGGCATCTGTTCATGTGTCAGGCGAAGGGCAGGAGTGCAGAGACCTTCGGGGGCAACCTGAGACCCCCCACCCAGCCCAACCCACAGAGGCCTGGGCTCCCCGAGGAGGAAGTGGCTTGGTCTAAAGAGCTTGGTTGGACAGGGAGGCTCAGCAAAGTTTGTGCTGGTCCCCACAGCTCTGGTGCTGCCCCCTGTGGGGTGCTGGACCCCCTGCAGCAGGTGGGGGACTCACTGAGGTCACGTGGACACAGGGTCTCGGGCCCTGGCAGGCTGGGAGTCTGTCAAGCTGTGGCTGGTGGAGAAGAAAGCCCAGCTCACCTCCAGCCCTGCCCGAGGGTCCATGGCAGTCTGACCTCCTGGGTCCCCAGCTGGGCTGTCCCAGGCCCCAGAGCTGCCTACTTGTCATCCTGCTAGGGCCCGGAGAGGCTGGGGAAAAGACTAGGTAGCCAAGTGCAGGCGGCACATGGCCCCACATGGGGGGTGCCCCAGGTGGTCGGGCTCCAGGGGGCCCGCAGTGGTGGGCGGTCCTCCAGGCGGCCAAGGTGGCATAGGTGCAGCCCAGGAGGCACCCAAGGCTGGTCACGTTGCCCCCATCCACGGGTACAGGTGCCAATCCGCTCCCTGTGGGCCGCGGCGTCCGTGAGAGAGAAGCAGAAAGGTGGTCAGCACAGCACCAGCTTCGGGGCCCTACAGCCCGCACCCCTCCCGCACTGGGACAGCCCCAGCCCAGGCTGTCTCAGCCCTGAACAGCTGCGCATCCCTCACACTCCCTCAGCCCTGCCCCTGGCGTTTGTCAGGCAGGAGAGTTCCAGCAGGTTCAGCAGCCCCCACATGGCCCTGAGCCAGCAGGTGGCCCCTATGCACCCACACTTCATTTCGCCAAGCTCTTGGGTTCCTGGGATTCCCCTGTGGGTAGTGGCAGACCTAAGTCTTTCCCCCAAACACCCCATCACTGCCAGAACTGATGCAGACACAAGGCGAGAGACCCTCACACTTCCCAGCCATAGACCATCGGCCACGCCCTCTTCCCAAGCCTCTGACTCAGCCCAAGCCCACAGAAATGCCCCCGAGGAACCCACCTACCCCTGCACACCAGACAGCAGCCACCCCCTCTTCCAGGGCCCGGCCTCTGCCCTCCCCTAACTCTGGGGGTCCTGCAGCAACAGCCCTGGTCTTGCCCAAGGAAAGAATCAAAATAAGCTTTTCTTTTTTAATAAAATTATAGATATATAGATGTAGATATAAAAACATAAAACAGACACAACGCAGGTGGATGCTGTCGTTGTGCTTATTCTCAGGTCCCTGACACCAAAGGAAGCACGGACCCCTCCCCATTGTGCTTTCCCATGGCGTGAGCACCACAGCCAGGCCAGGGTTGGGGACGTGGCATGCCTTGGGGCAGGGTTCTCCAGTTTGGCAGGGAGGGCCTGAGGGCTGGGGAGGGGGCTCTGGGTGTCACAGGCCCCGTGGCAGCATCATCCCTGTGTCTGCTCCCGTCTGCCCCGTCACTTCCCACAAGAGCAGAAAGCAAAAGTTGAGGCTTTGATGAAAGGGACAGTGGCAGCTGGAACACTGACACATGGCTGGCCATCTGTCCACCTATCCACCACCACCCAGAACAGGCCAGAGCAGAAACATAAGCCTTGCCAAGCTACGAGCTCCCAGCGGGGTCCATGAAAGGCAACGCGTTAGTTAGGAGTAGCCTGGCGGGGGACACTCGGTCCGGGAGCCCACAGGCTGTGTCGGAAGGACGGCGGAGGCCCTGGATGCCTCTGTCCATCCCTGGGACCCGGCCGTAAAGGGACCGTTGGGGGCTGGCCTGGCGATGATCTGGGGTGCATGGGTGATGGGAGTGGGCCAAGCCTGGCTGAGAGAGGGTGCCCCAAAGAGGCTGACTAGGCCCCCTTCACTGCCCTAGCCATGGGACAGGCCCAGACACAGACCAGCCCAGCGGCCCTTGTCCCAGTGAGCCAACTTCCCCATGGCCAGATGAGTGGATGGGCAGGCAGGGCGCCTGGGGCAAGGTGTGGAGGCGTGGCACTCTCTCCCGCTGATGGGTCCATATCAGGCTAGGGTGGCCTCGTGTTCCTGGGGCAGAGAAGATGGTGGGGAGGGGGATGCACTGTGGGGTCCTGGTCCCCGTGGCACCACAGCAGATGGGTGGTGGTCAGTCCTCACACCGAGATCTTGTACGTGGTCCCACCCACGCCGGACACCTTCTTAATCCGCGTGTGCTGTGTAGGGCTGGCAGAGGGCCCTGGGGGGCCGGTGGTAGGTCCCAGCCGGGCCAGGCCCGGGGACTGCCCATTAAGCTTACCTGGGGGAGTCTTCACCTGAGGGTGGTCCCTGCATCAAAACACGCACATACACGCATGCACACGGTGAACACAGGAACGCATCGGGACAGAGGACGGAGGAGGCAGCAGGACATCGACGACACGGACGTGGACTGGTGTAACCATGTCGTGGGGGCCCAGGGCAGTCCCTGCCCTCTGGGCTCGGAGGGTTCACCTGGAAAGCAGGTGGGAGATGCAGAGCCTGCCTGGGGAGTGGCTGTGCCATCACAGGACAGACAGATGTCATCAGAACTGCCACCACCCTCCCGGGTCCCTGGGTCCCTCCTAGGCAGCACTGGCCCCAGAGAGCATGGGGCAGCCAGGTGGGCACTGACTGGAGCCCCTGCCCTGCCCTGCACTGGAAGCCTGGTCTCTCTGCCTGGCCTCATTCCTGCTCTCTCTCAGGAAAATGAGGGGCTGCCCTCCTGCCCACCAGTGCTGACCAACAGTAGCTCCACCCTTGCCACTTAAACCTTCTTGAGGCGAGAGCCCTTTGTCCCAGGGCTGCGATCCCTGCCTGGCTGCAATGCTGCCCACTTCTAGGTCTCGGGCTCCCCATTCATCACTGCCAATGGCAGCCTCCTCCTCAACTCCACAAAAGCTGGACAGACTCCCACGCTGTGGGGTAGGGGAGGTCTGCTCAGGGCTGGATGGACTGCTGTGCCCTCAGCCTCTTTGTGGCCAAGTGGCCTGGCCTAGGCTGGGCTGGGCTCTCCCCCTGGGGCCGCATCTGCTGACGGGAAACAGCTGAGCCTGTGCTTGAGGTTTCCAGGCCCAGATGGGGCAACAGATGCCATGAGGACACCATGTATCGCGGCCTGGGTCCTGGCCCCAGCAGGTGTGCAGTTCTCCTACCTGGGCCTGGGCCTGCGAGCCAGCTGACCCTGCTTTCTCAGTTACCAACCTACTAGGTGCCTGGAGCACACCTGCTTTCTCCAGTCCTCAGTTTCCCCACCTACGAGCAGGGAAGTCCCTGCTTCCTGGAACTATGTCCCACAGGGAGGGCCAGGGCCTGGCCACCCACGGTGGCACATTCTGTGCTAGGTAATGTCCTCAGCCCCAGCCTCCAAGAGATGCAGCAAAGCAGACCCAGGGAGAGCCCTGGGTGGACAGGGCCACTGTGACCCAGGAAGCCAGAGCCACAGCCTAAAGGAGACCCAGGTTGCCGCATGACACCGGCCCCAAGGAGAAAGCCCCACGGCCTCCCACATGCTGGGTCTATGCCAGCTCTGGGGGAACGAGTTGTTGGGATGAGGACACAAATTCTCATACCCTGTCCCCAGAGCGTGCCCAGGACATCCTCAGAGCTGGGCCACACGGGCTAGCCAGGGCCTTCAAGGCAGGGCGAGGCGCATCCTCCCTGTCCCGTCCCCAGAGAAAAACTCAGGCCCCTGGGATGACCTATGAGTGCCCAGCCAAGAGGGGCCCTGCAGATGGCTGGACAGCTGCCCTGTGCCAGGAAGCCCACCCGCACCTCCCGGCACCCACCTCTGCACGGCCAGCGAGGGCGGTGGCTCTGGGAGGTCCGTGTGGATGAAGGCGACAGCTTTGGGGCCTGCGTAGGACGGTGAGTCAGGAGTGCCTGTCAGGGAGGGCAGGCCCTGGAGTGTGACTGACCTGTGTGAGTCACTGATGAACCAGGGCCCCAGGGCATGGCTGCTGGCCTTATCAGCCTGCAGGGAGGACGACATCCGAGGTGCACGGCTCACGGAGCTGGACAGCAAGGACAGTGATGTCTGCAGGGCAGGGTTGCGGGCACCGCCGAAGCCAGGCCCAGCCACAGGGTCCTCTCTGGAGCCGTAACGCAGTGTGGAACCTCGGGGGCCCTGGCACGGCACACTGGCCTGCTGCAGGGTATAGAAGCTGGGCGCATCATAGATGCCCAAGTCGCCAAAGAGTGAGTTGGCCTGGGAGCGCAGCAGGCACTCATGCTCCTCCCTGTCCTTGTGCTCCTGGATGGATGCCATGATGGCCCTGGACAGGTTGTTGTAGTACACAGGTGAGGGCTCTGGGGGCCGGCGGCCCAGCATGGGGCTGAAGCTGCGGGGCAGGGGCCGTGGTGGGCCACCCGTTGCCCTAGGGTGCAGGTAGGGTCAGTGGTATCTGGCCACGCCAACTGCTGGATGGGCGGGGCAGGCATGGCCACCAGGTGGGTCAGGGTTGAGCACGCTATCATAGGACAGGCTGCTGTTGCCGTTGGGCAGTGCATGGGGGCAAAGATGCTACAGTGGGGCATGGGGGGGTTCACCCTCGGAGCGCAGGGGCTGCAGAGCGACGTGGTCCCCGCCCCGCCAGCTCGAGGCCTTGAGGCTCAGGGAGCACAAAGTGCTGAGAAGGCATCAGAGGTGCTGAATGACGGGGATGGCTGGTAGGCTGTGTGCAGGTCCCCGGGCCCATAGTCAGGGAGGTCCCGGTTCGGCTCAGACTCAAAGTTCAGGCTATGGATGTTGTCGTCCCCCAGGGTCAGGAAATCAGGGCCTGGAACCTGTAAGGAGAAGGCATTCTCACCACTGCCCACCTGCCACCCTGCCCGCAGCCGCCAGTCAGCACCCACGGGGGCCACACCTGGCACCGTGGCCTCAGGAACTGGGCCTCAAGGAGCCATAAGAGCCACACAGTGACCCATGGCCCTGTCCCTGAGCATCCATGGCTGAGGGGCAGGGGCTCTGCAGCAGGAGGGAGGCCACAGCTGGCTACTGCAGACACCCAGGGCTCTCCCTTTGAGCCACGAAGCCCCAGGGGCCCACCACTCAGGGCAGCCACAGGGAGGATGAGCCTCGTCTAGCCTCTGTGATGGGCACATGGGCATGGGCTTGGGCTAGGGACAAGAGCCTCAGGAACCACAAAGCCAGAAAGGGATCAGGGCAAATGTGGGCTCAATGGACTTGGCCAACCAGACCCAAGTTCCCCCCTGGACCTAGGAGTCCCAGAAACATGATGTACCCAGAGCCCTCATCTCCAAGCAGAGCTGCCTCCTCCTGCGAGGCGCGGCCCCTGCATGCCTGCAGACTCAGACCCTTGGCCAAGGAGGCCCAGACTTACTGCTCCACCATGTGACTCTCTCCAGGAAGAACATCAGTCTTGAGGGGAGAGATCCCTAGGGATGGGGCTGGTCTAGGTGCATGGGGTCCAGCCACAGGGCTGCCTCTCAGGGTGGCCCAGAAGGAGGGATGGCACCCTGGGGCTGTTCAGCGTTCCTGATCACTGCACAGACCGCCCTGCGCTGCCCACCATTCCAGTGACCACAGAGCACTCATGCAACCCAAGGAAGAGAAATGTGCTTTCTCAAGCAGGTCTCAAAGCTTCCAAAGTCTTCCCATAGGCCTTACAGAGTGACTAATTCCACTCTGTAAGGTGGAATTCCAGGCATCCCGGTACATAGTGCTCCTGGGGGCAGACGCCCACCTGGCCTAGGTCAATGCTGGCCAAGGGACAGATGCCAAGCCTGGACGTCCCATGCCAGCCCCTTCCAGGACACCATGCTCCCCTCCGTGGCTCCCAGTTCTGGGTGCACACAGGCAGGGTCCTACCAGGAATCTCTATGGCTCCACCTGCCCCATCCGCCTCTTCTAGGCTCCCACTAACCTGCCTGTTTCCCCATCCAAGGGCCTGACTGCCAGCCCAGGCCCCCACCACGGACACTAACCTCCAGCAGACGCCCTCTTCATTGTAGGGATCGGGCGGGCGCCTTGGGGACCGAAAGTCGCTTTGGGTCTCCCCGCCGCTGGGTCCACATCCAGGCGCCAGCCGCTCCAGTCTGGCCGGAGCTAGGCGCCCTCCGCTCTCCTGGCTTGGGCTGGGCTTAGCCATGGGCGCACAGGGCGAGGGCGGCAGCGGCGCGGACTGGCGGGACGCTCGCCGCGCGGGCCGCCAGCAGGATGAAAGTCGTCTGGGATCAGGTGGTTTGAGGTGCAAGGAATTCGCCCAGTTGACCCGCCCGCTAGCTGGGGCGGGTCGGCGACAGGCCGGGGATGGACCTTGCGGCGGGCTGGGAGCTCGGGAGCATCGGCCGGCAGGAGCGGGCGCGCTGCAGGCCAGGCGGCAGGAGGCACTCAGCCAGCCCAGTGCACCCTGGCGGCGCGGCCCCAAAGGCGGCGCATTCCTAAAGAGGCGGCGGCCCCTGCAGGAGGCCAAGGGGATGGCGGCCTGGGCCGCAGTGGACCAGGGCGCAGGCCCGAGGTGTGGCAGCCTAAGTTGGCCTGCTCCTCAAGCGGGCAAGTGCTTGGTCCCCAGGCCTGGGGATGGCCTCTGCCTACCCACTCCCTTCCTGGTCTCACTAAACCCATGAACCCCTCCCCCGGCCCCCTGCACAGAAATCCCTTTCTGGAGCACGATCACCCCATTTTTCACTAAGAAACAGGCTCAAGGCTTAAGAGAGTTCTGGGGACCCTCCTGGGCCTTGTGGTCCTCTCTGCACCATCCCAGGGAAGGGATCCAGGCCTGATGTTACCTGTAACCCTTCAGGGGTCCCCCACCTCTTCCGTCCTGGGGAATGCCGACTCCAAACCCAGAAGAGGCTCTCGGAGGCCACCTGCTTAGTATCCCCCACTCTATCAAGGCAGCCCCCACGGGGCGGGGGGGGGCATGGGGCCAGAGAACCCAGTGATGCCCCTGCACACACCCCACAGGGGTGCAGGTGTCCCTTCTCTGCCTTCTGCTTCGGGCACCCACCGGGCCTCACTGATGAGCTCCTAAGCGCATCCCGGGGTCTTCAGACAACTGCCAGGCTGCCCCATACCTGGATGAGTGCTGGGAGTCAGCTCAGCTGGGCTGGGTCCTCCCCAGGCCCACCCTGCATGAGAGGACCATGCAGATGAGGGTCTTGCAGGCCAGCCTGTGTCAGTCTGAAGAACCCTGACTCAAGGATGGAGTGGGCCAGCCTGAGGCCTTGATGGCCCTTCTCAGAGCCCAGGTCCGCTGATATGAAACAGAGACCTGGTGACTGGGCAGCCCTGTGCTCTCTGCCTGACCCTGCCGTGGAGGTGGCCCTGAGGGAGATGAGCAGGGTGCAAGACTGGTGGCCTGTCTGCCTTGTCCAGAGGAAGTGAGGACCTACCAGAGCCCTGGTGCTCCCATCTCAGCCCAGTGGTAGGCAGCTTCGTGGGGTGGAGACATGCTGGGCAGGCCGGGCCCTCTGTCTGGTGTGCCCACACATCTCTGGTTGCCGCTCTGTGGCCCTCATCACCTTGGCCTGCTTTATCCCTATCACCCTTGTCCCAGCCTAGGCTTACCAGGGCATTGTGGAGTGCATGCCATTCCCAGCCACACAGAAGGTGAGGTGGGGCCCAGACACCCCCAGCCACTCTGCCCCCAGCCTCCTGAAGGGGTGGGCTGTGCACACATTGCCACCTCCCCAGTGGGTGCTGGCTGCCAACTGCCAACATCTCAGCCCCTGCTGTGGCTCAACGGGTCCTCCCATAGCCATATCAAGACGTCGTCACCCATTGCACAGATGGGAAACCTCAGGCAAAGCTCACAGAGCCAGTGGGAGACTGAGGCCTGACCCCCAAACAAGCATTCTTCCTCCAGGGTCCCTGCACACAGCAGCCCCAGCACTAGAAACTGAGCTCTCACCACAGGGATGGATCACATCCTCAGACGAGTCATGTGGCACTGGCCATCAGTCTGAGGACAGCGCTGGGATGGACCAGGCTCCAGTCGTGCGCTGCTCTGTGCTTGCAGAGAGGCCTTGAGAGACACTTCTGTGCTTACTGCGCAGGCGTCACTTCAATTATCGGTGACCCAGAGCGGCCCACTACAGCTGAAGATTGTGACCCCACCCCCTCTCTCATAGGTTTAAAGCCCCTCCCACCCCTCCTGCAGCAGCCAAAGTGGCCATTCTGGGGCATGGGATGGGCATGGGAGAAAATGGGGAGCCAGGGCTGTCCTGGAGGCTTCTGGCACTGGAACCCTCTCCAGCCACCAAGCCCAGCTGTTCCCTGTTGCTCTGGGCTGAGGCCTGGGCCTCCACCTGCCCACAGTTCTGTGCAGTGGGAACAGGATGGAGGCCTGCAGAGGGAGCGCTGAGGGACGGGCTGGTTGGCTGTGTCTGCCACCTCAGTCAGCATCCTGGCCAGCGCCCTCCTCTCTGGAAGCTGGGCCCCCTTCTGGGTGCTGGCTGGCTGGTTAGGTGTGGGCCAGCGTTGACAGGGAGTTATAGGGGTGCAGAAGCGGAGTTGAGCAGGGCTAGGCAGGTGGTTGGTCTGCTGCCAGCAAGGCACAGTCCACTTCTCAGGCTGCGCATGTGGGACGGTTTGGTAAGGTACATTTTTCAGGGTGTAGCCAGGTGGGGGCCAGCATGGGGAGTGGTGCACTCTCTGGGCAGGCGACCGCGGAGCCATCACCCCCAGGACCCAACGGGCAAGAGAGGGGGAGCAGCTGATGGCTGGTGAGGGGCTAGCGGGGAGGGCTTGACAGGGGCACAGTCAGTTCTATGGGGTAACCTCATGGGAGGAGCCAGGGACCCTGTGGGCAGACTCTGGCCGTCTGCTGCCCGGAGTCTACACCAATCAGTTCCTAGGAAGCCCTAGCAGGGGTGCTGGGAGGACAGGCCATCTGTGTCCAGCTGATCCGAGCTCCCAGGCTTTCTGGACACGTGGCCCTGGGGATCAGGAGTGAGCTGGAGACTGGAGGCAGCTGTGCCCTCAGAGCTGGGCAGATCTGTCACACCCTGCCTGGGCTAGGTCAGCAGGGCCACACAGGCATCTGCCTGAATCGCTCCCCACCTCAAACCCACCCTGTAGGTCATGTCCTTTGCCAGCTTGCTCAGCCCACCACCTCCCTCCAGTGAGGCCAGAGGCTGCCTCACCTCCAACCCCCACCCCCAACCTGGGGCTCCGCTGAGCAGGTGTCAAGAAGGGTGAGCAGGCATTTCGAACCTGCCCTGGTTTTGAGCTGAGGGAAGTGGAGGATGCAGGAGTTGCCCACTCCAGAGGCCCTGGGTGTGTGTGAGGAGCCCTGAGGCTGGGCCGAGCCACTTGGAGACACTGTGCCCCCTCCATCTGAGATTGGGGCCCAGGTGCCCGGGACACTACAGACCTTTTGGGGAACCTGGGAGTCAGGAAGTCTAGAGCTGGGACCCACAAGCTGGATTCTGAGCTTTCATCCACGCCCCCCTGACGCTCCCCCAGCCACTGCCTGTGCATCAGGGGAGACAACATCCCCCCATGCCCACCTCTGTCCCCATCCAGGCTGTTCCTCCCCTCATCTGCTGGGATCAGTTTTTTTCTTTAACTGAGCCCCATGGCGGCAAAGGGAGAGCTCCAGGGGACCAGGCAGCAGAGAGGGGAGGGGAGAAGCCCTCAAACAGGCTGGGAGGTGGGAGGCCATGCACTCCTCACAGAGCCACACACAGCAGGAGGGGGCTGGGTGGAGGTTCAGAGCCCATTCTCTCCTGGGCACTGTTCTGGAATGGCCCCTAGTCCCACTCTGTTCTAAAGATGGGACCCTCCAGCCCAGGGACCCTGGATGGGGTCCAGCCTGGGCAACAAGAGCGAAACTCCATCTCAAAAAAAAAAAAAGTAAGAATTAACTAAGGAGGAGAAAGACTTGTACAATGAAAAGTACAAAACATTAGAGAAATTAGACATAAATAAATGGAAACATATTCCATGTTCATGGATTGGAAGACCTTATATTGTTAAGATATCAATAATACCCAAAACAATCTATAAATGTAATGCAATCCCTACCAAAATACCATGATTTTTTTTTTGCAGAAATAGAAAAACCTATCCTAAATTCATATGAAATATCAAAGGGTCCTGAATAGCTAAAGCAACCTTGAAAAAGAAGAACAGAGGTAGAAAACTCACATTTTCTGATTTCAAAACTTACTACAAAGCTACAGTAATCTAAACAGTGTGGTACTGGCATAAAGATAGACATAAGAGACCGACAGAATAGAGAGCCCAGATTTATAGTCAAATGATTTCTGATGAGGGTACCAAGACGATTTAAGGGGGGAAAGAACAATCTTTACAACAACTGGTGCTGGGAAAACTGAACATCCACATGCAAAAGAATGAAGCTGAAGCTGGATCTTTACCTAATAGCATACACAAAAAGTCACTCAAAGTGGAACAAAGACATAAATGTAAGACTGAAACAATAAAACTCCTAGAGGAAAAGCTTCACGACATTGGATTTAGCAATGATTTCTTGCATATGACACCAAAAGCACTAATGGCAAAAGAAAAAGTAGACAAATTAGACTTCAAGAAAATTAAACTTTTATGTGCATCAAAATACCTATTAACAGAGTAAAAAGGCAACCCACAGAATGGAAGAAAATATTTTATTTATTTTATTTTATTTTATTTTATTTTTATTTTTTTATTATTATTATTTTTTTGAGATGGAGTCCTGCTCTGTCATCCAGGCTGGAGTACAGTGTTGCAATCTCAGCTCACTGCAAGCTCCGCCTCCCGGGTTCACGCCATTCTCCGGCCTCAGCCTCCCGAGTAGCTGGGACTACAGGCGCCCGCCACCTCGCCCGGCTAGTTTTTTTTTTTTTTTTTTTGTATTTCTTAGTAGAGACGGGGTTTCACCGTGTTAGCCAGGATGGTCTCGATCTCCTGACCTCGTGATCCACCCGTCTCGGCCTCCCAAAGTGCTGGGATTACAGGCTTGAGCCACCGCGCCCGGCCGGAAGAAAATATTTTAAAATCATATGCCTGATAAAGGATTAATAAACAGAATATAAAGAGAACTACTAAAACTCAACAACAAAAAAACCACCAACCCAATTTAAAAAATGAGCAAAGCAGCCAGGCACTGTGGCTCACACCTGTAATCCCAGCACTTTGGGA